GGCCCTCGGGGCCTGAGATCGCCCAGCCCTGCTGATTCGAGTCTTAGAGAAAATCTTTTCCTCTCGACACTTTTTGGACAAAAACGCCACATTTATTTCCAATGAAACCACATTTTTAATGTCGCTGCCACTACAGTATAAAACCTGCATCCTGTAATGTCAGCATTTTATTTTGAAGAACAGTCGTGATATTTGACATTTTTACTCTATTTTCCCAGATTCAACCCTTTTCCTGTTGTAGGCCGATGCATGACACTTGTATTACTGCCAGTTATATGATGGAGCCGTGTGACCACCATGTGAGTGATGTGTGTGTCTGATTCTAATCAGGATCTGAGTCATCAGTAGAAACAGTTATTATGCAACTTCAACAACAAAAGATAAACAGAACATATGAAGTGATATTCAGGCTATCCAGGAAAAGAATTGTTTTTCGTGAATTATTGTAATAAATACTTAATTCAAATGTTTAAACTGGCATTTAAATGATTACAATAGTGAAAATAATTTAATGTTTTATCATTTTGAAAAGGTCTCAAAGTCATTAAGTGATTTATGGAAAAAAAGCAGAAAATAATATTGTCGTATCAGGATTTTATGGCAATTGTGTGTTTTTGTGTGGAGGGTCAAACATGAACACAGAGCTTCAGGCTCAACGTTCAGCGGCGACTGACTCACGAGGGCAGATTGTATGAACTACAGACGGCACGATACCAGTTTTTTTCATGTCCGATACCGATATCATAAATTTGGATATCTGCCGATATAAATCCGATATAATGTATTTTTAATCAATAAATCTGTTTTTTTTTAATATCTTGCTGCATTTTGTATAAGTTTATACTCAAGTTTAAATAAACAACAACACTAAAGCTGTTCTGTTATACCTGTATGCAAAAAATACAACAAAATATTTCATAGTTCAGCAAAACTGATCAATCTAATAAACTTAAACCTGCTCCATCCTCCCTATTCTGGTATTTTAAAGAGTACTTAGCAGAAATATTAAACAACCTAACTAATAGGGTTGCAAACTCCCAGCAAATAAAAAAAGGGAACCACCCTCCACCTCATGATGATTAATCAACGTAATCAACTTTAATTTAATGCACATGGAAAAAAATGCATAGAAATAAATTATTTTTCCACAATAATTAAACAGATTCAACATCTTCCTTCAACAGAACTGCAGACTGCACAGATGGTTCCCAAAGGAAAAAGTACTACAGCTTACTAGGGTATATTAGACTTAACAGTTACTATATACAGTAATGGACTTCTATACATTTTACATCAGATTAAAACTTTGGGTGTAAGATTCAGATAATTAT